AGCACCACCTAAGCCTGCACGGGGGCTTTGAGGGTGTTGTGGGCAGCTGTGTTAGGGAGAAACAGAACAGGCTGTCAGACCAGGCCAGGCCCTCCAGGAGACAAGATGGAAGACAAGGTGACTTTGCACCTTTGGAAGAGACAGACACTCCCCGGTGTGGGCCAGACCTCAAGACAAAAGAGGAAACAAATGCAGCCACAGACTTCCCTAGGAATGAGCATCAGGGATTGATATTCTAAATAGGTGCCACTCATCTTGAAAGACCCCAAAGAGTCGCTGGCCCAACCCCCAACAGGAAGAGATCCTGCCCCATATCCCTGCCCGCTTGCTACATGACTCACTTCCCCATTTGGTCCTGGATTTAATCAATTTTACCTGAGCAATGGTGCTTATAATCTCATTGGTTGACTATAGTTTTGTCCTACCTCATGCCCACCTGAGTTCCCATGTTCTCCACCTTAGACCTGCCTCACCACATGGTTTTACTCTATAATAATCCCTGGAAGAGACAGCTTCTGGGACAACCTGCTTGGGTCCCCCTTCTGTCCCTCTCTCGGGCAGAAGCTTTCTTTCAACCCCAATAAATGTTTTGCTCTTAATCTCCATTTCTTTGTAAAATTAATTCTTCGGGGAACTCGTCGCAGGTACCTTTCAGGTCGGATGTTTCATTCCCCTCTGTCAAGGAGGACACTCGGACACCAGCCACCAGCCGCTTGCAGAAGTCCGGCCGCTAGGGCCGCCATCCCGGAGGTGGCAAGAAGAGCCTAGAGAGAAGACAGAGGTCATTCTGACAGAGGGGCTGTGGCTTTGCCGCTAGGGCACAAGGGGCCAGGCGTCTGGCTCACCTTGCTTCTATTCAGCTCTGGCTGGGAGCAAGCAACGAGGCTGATGGAAAGGTCATCCGTTTCTCATTTGTGAAGTGCACACAGGTAAGTAGTTCTCTAAATAAGATCTCAGCTGTTACTGATCTCTGTCCCTCGACTTGCAACATTGTCAAAGGGGGAGAAGCTTGTTTCCTCCTTGGTGTCCCCAGGGAAGGCCACCTGGGCCTCGATCTCTAGGACTAGTTTCCTGTAAGCCACAGTAGGCTTTTCCTGCATGTATGATTTTGCACATTGGAAGGCTAGCATCAAGGTAATTTCCTACAAGAGCGCTGACTCCAAGAGTTAGTGTGTTTTGTTAGACATTGCCAAATTTCCTTTCGAAAGACTGTATTTCTCCCAGCTGCAGACAACTTCCCTACCAGAAACCATGACCCAAAGCATCAAAATCAGAGGACTTTCAAGCTATGCCAGGCACCTGTGCAGACAGGTGTGCCAGCGAGGTGCACTCGCTCCCCCAATGGCTAAGGTCCTTAGGCTGCCATTGGGCAGGGAGGAGCTCAGCTAGCCAAGTTTGAGCTGTGAAGGCGTCCTCCAAAACTGATTATCTGTGAGAGTGGGCCGACTTTGCATGGGATGGAATGGAAGTGGGAGGCAACCTCCAGGCATGGCTTCGCAGTGTGTCCCCAGCCTGAGGGTGTTGATGAGTGCAGAGCCTACCTCTCTGCCCTTCTCCCTAACTATGTGGATTCTGATGTTGACATTTACTGTTTGCAAGTTTGTCATTTTCCGAGACCCGGTCTCACTATGTAGTTCAGGCTGACCTTGTGCAGCTGTAGAGGTGGGTATACTGTCCAAGCTGGTTTCGAGAATTTGCAGTGATCCTCCTGCCTCAGCCTCCCAAGTGCTGGGGTGATGGGCGTGTAGCACCACTCCCGGTTGTTAGTCTACTTTTTTTTTTTTTTTTTTTTTTGCAGAACCAGGGATTGAACTCAGGCCCTTGCGCTTGCCAGGGAAGCGCTTATTCCACTGAGCCATCTCCCCGG